ATTGTTCTTCAAGTGGCTTAAATTGCAAATGCATTTTTTCCATCTACTTCAGGGACCCAGAATATATGGAAAATACAAATTAATTTTTAAAAACCTTGTTCTTAATAAATATTGGTAAAACTAGAAATTGGTACTTTGGGCCAAGTAGTAATTAAGGGGATAATAACTTTAAAGGACTTTAATGTTGAGTTGCTGAATGCAGACATATGTGTATGGAAGTCAAAGTCTCTCCTAATATCACAGTGAAAAGATTCGGTCTATATTATGCAGAATAGTTATTATGTTCATCTATGCTGGCTGTGCCTTACTGCAGTACAATTATATTGAAAATAAGCTGTTGTCCAGAAACAATCACTCAAATAACTATGGATGATAATCAATGTTAAAATTTATTCCTGTATCAGGGCCTCCCCTGGTGGTGCAGCAGTTGAGCTCTGGGCTGCGAAGCTGCCCAAAGCCTCTGCAGCGCCAGTTCGATCCCCGGCCACTGGGAGAGGGTCCCACATGGCACGCAGACCTCTCCTGCCACCCGCTGCTCCCCTCAGCAGTGTACTTCGTCAGTCTGCCTGTTCTGCTCTCCGCTCTGGTGAATTCTCTCACCCTCCAGTGCTTCTGACTGTACCCAGTGCTTGTATAAATAAATAAATAAATAAATAAATAAATAAATAAATAAATAAATAAATAAATAAATAAATATTTAAAAGAAAAAAAATTTATTCCTGTATCAGTAGATACATCTAAAATTATAACAATTTTAAAATTATAACAATTTGTGCAGTGAACAAGAATTTAAGATTTGAAAATAGAAAAAAAAAAACATTTAATTATCTGTGATTTAAGTGACTAAGATTTACTTTTCTAAAGCTATGTTTTTTTCAATCTAACAATCTTTGAAAGCATAAAACCAGTAGAATTTGAAATGTTTTATATAGATTTTAGAAATAAGTTGAATTTGTGTCAGGGAGATTGAATTTGACCTCCATGAAAACAGTTCTAGATTAAACTAGAATACTGAAATGGCCACTGAGAAGTTAATGTTCCTGTAAATCACTCTGTATTTTATCTTGCAAACTCTTTCCTTTGGGTCCTCACCTTGAGTCATTTTTCACTCTATCCCAGATTTTTGTTTCATTATAGTCACCCCTGCAGCATTATAGGGGGGAAAAGTGTTAATGATTTATGAACATTTTATGAAGGGCAGAAATAAAGTAAAACAGTAATTGAGAAGAGAAAGTACTCTCTCTTCTACCAATAGGTAACTTGATTTAAATTCTGTTCCCCCCTCAAAAAAAATTGTACTAAATTTCTGAAAAAGTCATAAAATGTGCTTAAAATCTTTGATTGGAATTTATCTGTGATCCATACAGCCTGGGCCTTCAATTTGAGGCAGTGCAAACTGATCTTTTGCTATTACCACCTTCCTTAATTCACTAACAAAGGAGTGAATTGTAGATGTCTTGAGGTCAGGGAAACTTTTATTATCATTTTTTTTCTTTTAATAAACTCATATTGGTTTGCAATTCACTAACAACATTTCCATAACTAAATAAGAGTAAGACTATTAACTTTTTTACTCTTTTTCTTTACTAAAAGAAAAAAAAATCCCACACTTCACAAAGAATTCAAGATGGAGACTTGGGTTAGGGAAAGAACACAGAATATGCCCATTATCACTGACTCATTAAAATATAATTACATCGAGACCTATGCCAAAGAAACAAAGAATTCCCAACCACCATTGTTTTTCTTTTTCCCTACAGAGTTTCTAATATCCTCACATTTCATTTCTGTGTCCTCATTTTTACTTTTTGGTCATTAAAAATATTGGGGTAAATCCAGTAGGTAAACCACTGTCTAGGCTTTGTGCCACTCAAAGATTTAACAGAAAGGAAATCTATTACTCATAGTAGAAAAGAAAATAGTCTATACTATTATTTATTCTATGGAAATATTGTTAGTGAGTTGCAAACAAATATGAGTTTTACAACCAATGAGTAACAAATAATTGTACTAGATGAAATTCAAAACATGAACAGCAAAAGACTATCTCCACAGAGTTAATAGTGATTATCTGTGGGTAGAAAAAATATGCATTTTTACTTCACATTTATTAGCAATAATTTCTGATTTTCAACAAAAGGCACACAATGCTTTTGTAAAAGAAATAAACAATATATGTGATGTTTGCTTTTAAAAACACACAGCTAGGTCTTAGTTCACAACAGAACTGCAGAGGTCCCTATTCTTTTATCAGTCCTATAGTCTTGCAGTATGATCAGGATATAGGAGAAATTTCACAAATACAGAGAGATCAGCTGGCAGTAAAGGCAGCACAGTGGTTAAAAGCATAGATTTTGAGGTCCAACGTATTCTGGAATTGCAGCTCTGTCTCTTACCTTGTGTTGCTTAGTCAAGTTTCTAAAGAACTCTCAACTTTGGCCTCCTCTGTTGTAATAAAGGGGAACTAATGATACCTCCCTACAAAGTTCATGGTTGCAGTAAGGATTAAGTGAGGAAATACAGCACAGGGACTCTAACATAATGCAGACTTAATAATGAATAAAACAATAATTTAATAGTAATAACAATATTGTCCACAACATTATTCAAAATTCACGATTTATAGTATGTGTCAGGTCCTATTCTAGTGCATCTATAATTTACCTCATCAAATGGTAACAACTCTATACAAAGCAGGCCATGCTATTTTTTAATGTTATACTTACAAAACTACAATATGGAGGCACAAGTACCTAAAGTTCAAACTTCATAAAGTCCCAAGTTCATAAGTACTATGCTTCATGGTCTCACATGATTGTGATTTTTGCTCAGGTAATTTATATTAATAATAATTTATAATTAATGATTCATAGGAATCATTTTTATTAGTGTGTATAGTATTTTAGAAGCTCAGAAATGTAGTAATATTCTTGCTCTATATTTTTACACTTTATTTATTTAGACATTAAACTTATTTCAAAGGCTATCAATGAGGAGTAATAAAAAGGGAAGTTAGAATTGATCCCCAAGAATGTATTCTGAGAGCAGCTGGGATTGGGGTTTGTCCAATCACGAAAACTAGCATCTGAGGAGTCATGGATGGCCCCTCCATATAGCATGACAGGAGATCAGCACTGTTCTAGCTTTAGGCCTCTAAACAATTTCTTCTTCTTTTCCATGTTTCCAGAATGCTTTCACAGCATTAATAGTAGTTCGCCTTGTGAAAGACACAATAACATAGATAATAAACCTTCCCCAAAAATCTGGTTTTCTGGGGATAAAAGGCAATATTCTGTTTTCTTTAGAATTTTTGCTCTCTTATCTAAGAAGAAGTTAATGAACCCCTTACATAATATTCTAAATTATAATCCTTGATCTTTCTCAAATTTTTGTGAAATAGTAAAGAAAATAATCCTATCATGTTAAAAAAAAAAAACTTTTTCCATTTTCCACTATGAATATCATGAGCTAGTTTATTTTCTGAGATTTTTTGAGGGCCATAGTCATCCTTCATATCAAGTGGGTATATTTATCTGCAGCTTCTCCTTATAATGGAGAGCCTAATTAAGAATTTTCTGATAGTATAAATAATTTATTTACAAGAACCTCAAGACTGTTTGTAACCATATCACATGACTGTATAACAACGATGATCACTTATGGCAAGAGGTTCTTTTTTAAATTATGAAACACTAATGTTTTAATTTACTCCTCTCTCTTGAAATCTAGATAGTGATTGAATTCATAAGCTTATTATATCCTCTGAGCATGTTTCATGCTGATTTATAAGGTGTGGAACTCTTAGTCAGCTCTGTTCCTTAGGATGCTATTAATCAAAATCTAGAAGGAGGTGGCTTAGACTGAGGCTTTTGCTTGTAACTCTGCCACTATCAAGGATATTAGCCTAGACTAGGCCTCCATTATATCAAATATAAAATAAAAGACTTAAACAGATTATTTTCTATAGATATTTCCCAGTCTAAATTTTTATGATTTTAAGAGATGTTTAAAGAGATGTTTAGTTTTATGTATTTCAGTTCATAAAATGAAAAAATAGAAAGCCATTTTGCCTCATCAGAGGCCTATCAACATTAAATTTTAACTATTCAGAACACAATACTCACATTATTAGTAATAACCACTGGCTTTTTTCACGCATATTCTTCTAGGCATACTGCCATCTCTTTCTTGCTAGGACCCTGAATAATATAGCTACCAAATATCTTTCTGCCAAGTCATGCCATTTCACACATTAGGACATAACACTTAATTGATTCAATAAAGTTTTTGAGACCAATATCTCCCAATAATGACAAGAGCTAGCATTTGAAAGATCTTAACCACTGTTCTGTTCCTGTAGTTCTCTTAACAATGAGAACTTGAAATCAGCAAGGAGATATGATTCAAGGATGATTAAAATTCTGTTTTTGTCTCAGGATGTTTTGAATCAAAATGATCCAAACAAACAAATGTAACCCATGATCGGACTGAATGACCCACTGTCAGCTCCTACTATTAGAGGGAAATATGCTTGCTAGGCTAACCCTTCAACTGTCCACACTTCTAGGTGTAGATTAAGTTTGCAATTCTGAGAATTACAACACAGGAGGGATTTTGTGACAGCAAAAAAGCAGTACACTAACTTTTTTTTTTTTAAAGATTTATTTTATTTCATTTATACAAGCACTGGGTACAGTCAGAATCGCAGGAGGGTGAGAGAATTCACCAGAGACAGAGAGGGGAACAGAGCAAGCAGACCGACGAGGTACACTGCTGAGGGGAGCAGCGGGCACAGCAGGAGAGGTCTGCGTGCCATGTGGGACCCTCCCCGGCGGCCGGCGGCGGGGGATCGAAGGGGCACTGCAGAGGCTGCAGGCAGCTTCGCAGCCCAGCGCTCAACCTCTGTGCCACCAGGGGAGGCCCCAGCACACTAACTCTTAATGTTATTTGGAGAGTGATGTTAACTCTATTTTTTTTTTTTTTTTTGTCTCAGAACTTTCTCCAACAAAAAAACAATTAGTGGAGGAATTTCTGCTGATGCTACCAAAAAGTCTGAAGCAATATTCTTCCATCCCAGATGAAGAAGATACCTACACACCAACCTCCTTGTTTGAGTCACTTAGGTAATGAGGAATGAGGTGCAAGAATTTCTTAACCTGATACAAGCAGGGGCTGGTTAATCTACAATGTTGGTACAATATTAGAAAGGCACACTTGGCATTGAAAAAGAAACTTCTAATCCGTGCATCCCAGTTTGACCTGGGAATTAAGATCTTGGCTCCCGGAGTCTTTGGAACCACTGAAATGTGTGGGGAAAGTCTCTGTACATGTGCTTTTGACCGGATAGAGGCTCAATGCTCAACTGTCGTCTCAAAAAAGCCTGACCATCAAAGATGATAGGGAACAATGTGCAGTACCTTCTGCTACACTGACCAGCCCAGGGGATACAGATCAGTACACAGGATTACTTAGATTTCTTAGATTGCTTAGATTTCTTGATTCCTTATCAACCTTCTGGTTTTTGGTTTAATTTCCCACACAGAATTTTAGGAAGATAAATACCTTACTGCTTTAGCTAAAAAAAAAAAAAAAATCCAGTTTCATGAATATGAAATAGATTCTTTATGTCCTTTTTCTCAAAAGGCTTCAATTTCCCCAAATCAGTTATTGATTGAATTTTCAGACCCACCAGTTCCTGCTGGGCACAGGAACAACAACAACAACAAAATCCATAACCCTATAATCACAAAGCCTTTCACTACCACAGCTTTAACCTGGAGCTTTAACCTGCCAATATTAAGTGTTTTAAAAGCTTACATATTCTGGTTCCTTTTTCTTCCTTTTTCTTTCTGTTCATTACTTTTTTCTCTCACCAGGGAAGAAACAATGAGCAATTTAGCGACTATACACTTTTTTTCATTTGAAAAATAGAGTTCCTGAGGATATAATAAAGAATCACATTTGTTTATAGGGAACAAGGTAATATTGCTCCCTTCATTGAGATCAGTGGACTTCATTTTTTGTGCTATGTGGCAGGATGTAATAATGTATTCGGTCAGCTTTGTCCCTCAAGAGTTACTGATGTGATGTTTAAGAAGTTATATTTTTCTATTATTATGCTCACATAAAGGAGTGCTGTCTTCAAAGGAAATATGCTAGAAAGGAATCCATAATGGTGCTGTAATGACTTTCCTTGACCAATGCAGAGCAGAGAATTTAGGTGATAATGCCAATCCTCATATTTATCTAGAGAAGATTTTGTATCTCTAGTTCCCAGCACAAGATACTCCAAAGAATTATCTTCTCACTCCATTATACCCACAGGGAACATTCCTTCCACAGTTTTCTCCAATGTCCTCGAGTTTCTTTCAGACTCACCATCATCACCCTGGCCTTCCTATGGGCCAGTGTCATCCCTCACTTACTGATCTTTATTCCTTGGGCTACTGCCACCATTTGACACAATCACTCCTTTCTCTAAACACTCTGATTCCTTGGTTTTGTTTAATTGCTGAAATTATCCTCCCTTGGTCTCACCATCACTTTCCAATCATTCTCCCTCATATCCATACTGACTACTCAGCATTACAACTCTCCTCTTAAATATTGTGTTCTCCAAGGTTCCACCCTTGAAGATTTTTCTCACTGAGAAAGTCTCCTCAACCACTTCTACATGTCAACACTCAGAGCAGTATCTTCATGCCAGTCATACTGCTAAAAATCTAGAGCCAGTGGATCTAAATAACAACCATTCATCCCTCTGCAGGTACTTCAGACATACCTGCCCCAAATGGCCCAAAATGAAATTCATTATCCTGTCTACACTCCTACCCAAACTAGTTCCTCTTTCTGTAATCCCTCCTTAGTTTAATATACTTACCATCCACCCAGACATTCAAGTCAGAGGTAACCAACTCTAAAACCTTTACACAAGCAATAACATTTGAGTTATAGCCTCATAAATAAAAAGAAATGTCCAATTTGAAAGAGCATTCCAAAAATGAAGCAAGATTTTTAAAAAGTCATTGAGTTTGTTCTTTATGTGTTCTTTAAAGTTCATTAAAAAAACAAAGGACAAAGAATGGAGAAATCACTGAGTCATGAAATAGTATGATATGTTTAGAGACTGATAAACTATTCTGCACTGATCTAGAGGGTACAGTAGAAATTGACAAGAGATGAAATACAAGCAAACTGAGGTCAGATTGTAAAGGATCTCCCACATCATGCTAGGCTTTGTACTTTAGTCCATAATCAATAGGAGGTCCCCTACTATCCTCAAAGAACTAGAACTAACTTCGGTAGCAAAGCCTAATGGCCATTTTATTGACTCTACTAACTTCCAAATTCTCATGTCTGTCCAGAGTGAGCCATTCTTAAGAAACCTGTACCTCTGAAGAACTCATTCAGTATTTGTTGCTCAAGTTTCAGGAGACTACAAACCACTCGATAATCTTCCTAAAGAAGACCATTACAATGATTATTTATTGTGTTTGATAGCCATCATCTACTTCCCTCTCTTACAGAAGCAGAAATAGTTTTTCTTTGAAGACCAACCCTCTCCCACTGAACTTTATGTACTTCAAGTGGAGGTGACTCGTCCTACAATTCTCCTCCACCAACTCAGCCACACCACCTCTTCAGCAGTAGACATGACTCGATTAAAGCAAATCATTGTAAGATTCAGGCATTTTATTTGAACTATTGATAATCATGTTATCTTTCCTATTGAATGTGAACTTGAGAAGAAGTTAAAAGTAGAGCAACAACCAGATTATGCCCATTAAGGGTGTGCTGATGAAGTCAACATGGAACAAAACAAAAGCAAAAGATGTCGCTCACTCTGTGTTGAGTACTGTGAGAGATACAGTGTGGTGAGTACATGGCACCTACCCTTTATAAGCTTAAAATATATCTGAAAATACATAGCAATACATGTAACAGGAACAGTCAAGTTAAAGAAGAAAATTGGGGAATTACCTTCCCCAATTTATACTGCAAGCAGTCAAGAAAATAAGACAGAAGTGTTGATCTAATGAGAAAAGCAGGCGAGTCTGCTGAGCAACCCAAACTTGAGAAAGGGGAGTTTGAAGGAACATAAAGTAGGTGTTCAAGCTCTCATTTCTCTCTCAATTTCTTTTCTTCATTTTCCCCATTAGCTCACATTCATAAAAATTAATGGCAAAAAATATTCTTATTTTGAATGGTCTTATAACTATGGTTGCCTATAGAAAAGGAGAGGTATTGGCAAATTAATTTTAAAACAAAAAGTTGGACTGAGAAAGCCCACATGACCAGCATTTGATCCAGAGATGGTGATGGAAGAAAGATACTTTAGAAAACAACAACCAAAAAAAAAAAAAAAATCAGGAGTAGGCTCACTGAGTGAGATTGAAGAACAGAAATAGAGCGTAAAAGAACGTTGGGCAGACCAGAGTGAACAACACCAGTAAGCAAAACTGTCCAGCCACAGAAAAAGCACGGAGAGGAGAGATTTGATATATAAATGTACAGTTTTATCATGCTGAGCAGAATCTGAGGAGGGGGAAACACAGAATGGAAGTTCCAAAAAGAGCTGCTTAAAGGGAACTTAAGGAATAGACCTGAGACCAAAGTAAAAAGTTGAAGATCAGAGAACCACAATTGCCTTATCCTGTAAAAGCCTCAGAACTGTTCCTATCTGGCTCTTGCTGGATCGAGTAATGAGGCCATCTGCTTATAATGCTAGCTCCATGTGTGGCTTATGCCCAGAAATCTCCATGCCTTCCAGCAAAGTCATTTTTACACTGTACTTGACAGACAGAGCATGTGTTTGTGCTAAAAACACTGCAGGAAAGGGGTACTGGGAAGAATCAAAAAAGCCTTGACCTTGGAAGAACAGTCATGAGCTTTAAGGAGGTAGTATTTAAAACCTAGGGGCAGAATAATGCTGAGGAACCTACTAGAAGCAATTCCTTAGACCCATATCACACCATGGTAGACAAGAGCATATGTTTGGTGCTGTTTGGGAAAGACAAAGCATAGTCAGTTTCTTCACTTTTCAAAATAACTTTATTTTCTTCAGTATTTCACTAAAAGAAGTAAAGCTAAAAACGACATTGAAAATCTTCAACCCCACGTCAACTGAATAAAGCCCAAATTACTTGTCATAAACCCATACAACCTGAGTCCAATTTACTTCGACAAAGCCTCTGAATTTACTACTACAAGCTAAAATGTTAACAATCCATAAATGCCAATCCATGTCCTGAAATATAACTCTCACCCTTTCCTACATGGATCAAGGAAAAGCTAAGTAATTTGCCCAAGATCAGATAAATTCTGAGTCTATGACATATTAACACAACACTAGAGATGAAAGAAGAATCAAAAGAAATGCTCATAAAACCTGAATGAAGACACTTAGAAAAAATACAACCTCCATTGTCCACTGCAGTATTTCCTGCATTTAGAGAAGTGGACTTTGGCTTGATGACATCACCTATATGAAGGAACATCTTTAAAAGATGCAAGGAAGTGCAATAGAATTTGTTTACATGATGTTTAGAGTAGGATCTAAGGATCCTCTCTATTACATTGTTTAAGATTTTTCTTACAAGGATCCTCAGCAGACAGTTCTTTCTGGTCTTTAACATTAGGAATAATTGTTCTTCCCCTGGAAAGCTGAAATTTATTTTGCTATAGAGAAACTGAGACCCTCATGAGTGACCATAGTTAGATGCCTGTATTAGCAACTTGAAAGGTTAGAAGCATATTTGGGGTCAACACTTTGCAAGTGTATAGGACTCTGTGGTAGGGATCAGCAAATGTTTTGTATAGGGCTAGATAGTAAATATTTTTATCTCTGCAGGTATGTTGGTATATGGGAGTTGGATTTAACCCACAGGCTAACTTGCTTTGTGGCATGCCTTTATAACAAAGTCTCAATCATGATTCTATTTAATTCCTTTAACTTACTTTTCTCCGTCTTCTTTTTTACTCTCTTGTATTTATATTACATGGCTATAGCTTATATAATTAACCTATCTTTCTTATTTTTCCTAAACCAAATAAATAATAAATGCTTAATTTTTTTTAAATTAACTAGCTATATGCTTGCTTTGTTTCTATATTCAAATAAGAAAGGACACTTGCAAAAGTTCAGAGGGCAACAAAGCTTTCAGATAGAAAGGATTATATTAAGATATCTAAAAATTAGAAAGTGAGGTTTTATTCTTTTCCCATGGGCATACATCTGAAGAAAAGTGCAGAGAAGACCCAGGTGGTAAAGTGGGTCAAAATAAGAGAGGTAGAGACTAGGTAAGAGAGTAAGGAGGCCCTGAAGGTTGACAGGAGAGCAATTTTCTTCTGATTCTAGATTTCTAAGGTAGTGAGATATATATATATAGCTTTCTGGCTTTTACCAGAGTATTTTTGTATTTCATTAAATCTATTTATACTAGTTTTTATGCTCCATATGTTGCTTCCACTGTATTCACTCATCTCTGCCTCAAATCCCATAAAATTAATAAAACTTATTAAATATTCATAAATGCTATTATATACCAGGTGTTATTCTGAGAACCATGTACATAACAGTGAAGAAAAGAGACAATAGCCCTACCTTTATGGCACTTGCTTCCCTTTGGAGAGAAACAATAAATAAATAAATAAATAGATAGATAAGTATGGTGCTAAGAAGTGTTACAAAGAGATAAAAACAGAGCAAAAGAGAATAATCAAGCTGGAGCTGGATTCTCAAAGAAACATTGGAGAGAATCCTAAAGAAAGAACAAAAAGTACAATTTTGTTGTAAACCTAAAACAGTTCTAAGAAACTGCCTTTAGAAACTAAAAGCACAACAATAATAAGTGAAACGAGAGAACTGATATTACTTTAACATTTAAACTTCCTGTGTATTTATTTATTAAACATTTCTGGCACCTAAACATTTCTAACTACTGCTAAGCACTGTGGGGAGAAAAGAGGATAAAACAAAGAATGATTAAGACAAGAGTCACTACATTCAAAAGAAATTAACTTTTTTTATCCCTGGTTAGCTTTCGAAATCATGTAACTGAAGAAAACAAGGACAAGAACCCTGAGCAATGGCCAGCAATGGAGAATGGAAAGAACTTAACAAGTGGTCTTGGAAGAGATAAAGTCTTTTAAGGTGTCCACTATGAAGCTAATGTTAGGGAAGGAGCTGTGAAGTTTGCCCAATGCCTGCCATCCACCTGGGCTCCAGGTCCACATATCCTGCCAAGCATGCAATGCCCTGCATTCACCACCTCCATGCAGCTCCCTATTCTGATGTTCTCTGTCTGCTGCACTTCTGGCTTTGGCAGTTACTGCAGGGTGTACATGTCAGCCTCCACAATGGGACAGAGAACGGCACTAGCCTACTTTCACATCTGCTCTGATATACAGAAAGTTGGTGCTAAAAGAATGTCTGTGGAGCACAGGAACTAGAGGCACTGCAGCCTCCAGTGTACCTGTGTTATTATGAATGTAAACTGCATGGGTAATAGTTATTTTCTTTGGGAGCCATGATTTATTTTCTTATATCACGAATTCATCAGTGTTTTGTAAAGTTGAATGCAGCCCCCCACACACTCTGCAACTTCATGTGTATTTGAAAGTGAAAAATATTAGTCATCCTCCCTGACCAGTGCAGTAAACACAGGGGTTGCATAATTCATGTGTTGTGAGTAACTGCTTCTTGGCTACGTGTCCAGTTTCATCATAAGGATAATTTATATGGGGAAATTCTTTAATATAGAACTTTGAAAGAGAAAAGCTATTCCTGATTTTACATATTTTAAATGTCTGATTTATTTGCACTGTAAAATATTAATGGCATATTCAAATATAGCTTTCAAGGAATTTTTAATGAAGTTTTAAATGTATTGATTCCTAATCCACAATAATTAGGACAAAGAGTAGGTTGAAATGTGACTATTTGGAAATCTCATTCTTCATGGTCAGATTATATGTTTTCAAAGTCCCTAAAGTCACCCACTGTACAATGGATATCTAAAATGCAGATACTGTAACTACATTAAAAAAGTAGTCATTGCTTTGCCCTCTAAGAGAAAGTATTTTGTTAATTTAGGTTAAGATATGCCATACAGTAATAAAGAAATGTGAACTTCAAACTATCCTAAGATGCAGATCTTTTTTATTAGGTTTATATTATTACCCATAAAGCTGCCTAAAGCACTCAGTTGTTACTTTGCAGTTAAATATCGTTTCAGTTTAAAGGTTTGTTGTTTCTTTACATTGGAAGGTGCATTCTAGAGGCTTTTTTCCTAAATTCCAATTCCTTGGTACCACAGTTGGTGTATCTAATTCCATTAGAAACCTCACAATTGTTTGCTTTTGAAGGCATTGTTTATACTGAAATAGGCAGAATAGACAGACTTTTCCCCTTCATGTAACTAGAATGTTATACTACAAAAGAAAATAAACTATAGGATGATGATGGCCGTTTTTGCTTTGTTTTTCTTTTCTATTGAAACCCCCAAATAGATGAGTTTTAATTTTATGCTTTTTTCCTAATCTTGACAAATTCAGAAAAGAGCATTATTCTTTTCATTGATTTTATTATATGGTACTGCCATCTATGGGTCCTACTCATTAAATAATTTTGATTTAGGGTTTAAAGAAATTTAGGATTTGTAACCTAAAAAACCATTTCTTCATCTTGCTGTTATAAATAAGAAACTCAAGACTCTAAATAACTTTAATATAAGCATAAGACTACTATGTGATAAAGGCTGGATTGTCAGCTGAATTATTAATATTTTATTCCTGTACAAGTGATTTTTAATATACATTTTTTGGTCTCTTAAACAAGTACAAATAGCTGGTTCCTAACATTGGAAGATATGTTGTTTTAAAATGTGAGGTAATTGTAAGCTATTTTAATCACACATAAACATCTAAGCACTTAAATATGCCTATTTTAATTATCGCCCTTCTAATTAGTGTACATATTTATTTTGAGGATTTTTTAAGATTAATTTATTTTTAAACTTCCTTGTTTATTTTTTCACAATATCAGATTTTTTTTTAATTGAGGTGATGTTGGTCTACCCTGCTGTTTGAATTTTGGGAATAGAGGGTCCATCTCTTCCCCCAACCCCATGTGTTATCACCATAGTACACCATCTGCTGAAACATCCCTAGTTTTTGTTTTTTTTTAAAGAATAAGACAAGAACTCTGTATTTTAAAAAAGTTGTAAGTTTCATTATGCTAAGAAGATATTTGCATATAAAACTGAGGTAAATGTTATTTAGAAGTCAGAGGAATAAAAATTCAATATCATTCTTAATTTCTTAGTGGTAATCTCCAAACACAAGGGAAGAAAACAAAAGTTTGACTATTGTTTCTGATAGTAATTATAAAATATTTTGAAAGTTTAATAGCAAGAAATTCCAGTGAGAAATTCACAAATTTCTTCTAATAAAGTTCAAGTTAATATGATATATTGCAGTATAGTGATTTTTTGATCCTTTCCATTTTTTTATTATTTAACAGAACATGCCAACAATTAAAAAATGAAATTTGCAAAAATACACAACACATGAATGAGACTGACCTTTGATTTCTTTTTTATTCAACCTTAGAAGGTTTTGAAGTCAAAGTTATGCTAACTTTTTAAAGCGAATTGGGAAACTAAGCTGCACAGCAGTTTAAGTGATGCTGACACATACTTAATGTCATTCCAAAGCCTGCCCTCATTTTCAGCCATTTATTCCTTTCACAAGCTTCTTAGGGATTGCGGGAAATTGTTACTATTCACTTACCATTTTCAGGTTTATGCAGATGTTTTTATTTTGTGTTATTTTGTAGTTTTATTGAAGTATAACTGATAAACAAAAAGCTATAATGTATCCAACTTGATGAGTTTAGACACAAACATATACCCATGGTATCACCACCACTATTAAAGTAACAAATACAGCCATCACCTCCAAAAGCTTCTTGATGTCTCTGTGGGGGTTTTATTTCCCTTTATTTTTCTTGTGGTAAGAACACTAACATGAAAGGCCACTCTTTAACAGATTTTTAAATGTATCTTCACTTCTTTTTCTGACATCAATAATATTTCCCAACTCTACTCACTTAAAATGAGATGACTGAGATATTCCCATTTCTAGAAATCATATCCTATAATTACTATTTAGCAACAAACACTAAGTTAAATTCTGTATCTTAAAAACTGATTTTGATAGTGGATCAGCCCACACTTTCCCACCTACCCACTGACTGTACCTGACCTATTTTTGAAGAACTCTCTAAGTTCACTGTGAAACAACACAATTATTCAGAGACAATAATAACTGAGGTTAGTTGAGTTATTGAGCAAGTCATAATAAAAAGTACATTATTTCTTTTTATATTTATCATCTAAGGAAATTTACAGCTACCTTAATAGATGCAAGATAGTTGTAAGATGGAGAGAGAAATTATTTCAAGAATTTTCTTTCCTGTGTAAGCTAGGCTTAAACAACTATAGGGAAATTAGCAAAGAATGGGTCTTTTATACTCCCCCCAAAAAAGATTTATACTGAATATCCACTATAAACAGGAAAATAATGTCTCAGTTCTCTCTGTGTAGAACTTGGTTTCTTTTTTCATTTACTAATTACTTTATAAATAAGGTGGTAAATAATGTGAAATTGTTTCAAGTAAAGGTAACCACATCCTGTAGCACTTACTGAAGATTTAATAATTAAAAATAATTTAAATTCATATTTATAGTGTGCTTACTATTTACCAGAGAGTTTGACTTGAAAGAATTTGACTTCAGTATTGACTCTTAAAACAATATTACAAATGTGCTATATACAGAGTTCTGGATTAGATGCTACAGGAATTACAAGTATGAGTAACATTTAGTTTTTGTTCCTAACAACAGAGCAGTCTCCTTGAAGGAATAATTTTATAAATTATTTACTTAAAATGTCCCAGAACACAAAGCAAATCTATGCACAAGACACACGAATCAAGACCAAAATTTAAAAACACAGGTAGCAAGCATCTGAACAAAAGTTAAGTTAAGGCCAGGAAAAAATATACCAGAAAAAAAATAGATAAAATATAAGTGGGAAATTTCAGATGTGTTCAAGTAATAGCAAACTTCCTATTTTGGCAGGAGCTTCAGTTAGTATCTTAACATCAGCTTTTTAGAAGATAGTCTCAAAAGCTAGGAAAAATATGTGTTAAGTTAGGAACATACTGTGATAAATCTTGTATATCAGAGTAAATTTGTGACTGATTGAGACACAGAGGATAAACAGAAACCCTATGAGTTCTGATATGGAAAATTTGGTGACAAATAAGCTAGCTGTGGGGCCAGTCAATAAAGGCTGTTTATTACTTGAAATTGTTGGAATGGAATGAAGATGTAAACCACAATGATGGTGGTGGGGGTGGAAAGTAGATAGTTGTGGGAAATTTGTGATAATGGACCATCCTGATGTAGTGTTCACCAAATGGATGTTAGGAGAGAGTGTCAAATACAATTCATACATCTGAGTTAGAATGGTTAGAAAATGATACTGCCCCTAGGAACAGGGAAATCAGGAAAGAGACATGCAGATGGAAAAAATGACAAGTTTTTGGTAACAACACTGAACTCAAAGTGCCAAAAACTATTCAAAACGAGGTCCCCAGATTTGAAATCTGCAGGGCTGCAGTAGGTTATTTGAGTTATTTCCACATTGAAGAGATCATTGAAAGCATAGGAATAGTTGGATTTGAATTGTTTAGCAGTCCGAGACCCCTCATTTTCACTAAACTAATTTCTCTATTTTCAGGACACAGGAAGATAGATAAAGAAAGCATAGAGAGATTTCAGATAGGCAAGGAGAGAACCTGAAAAAAATTCTGTATAATCAAAAAAAAGTTTCAAGGAGAGCTGTCAAGTGTTTCAAGCAAGGAAAGCCATTAAGGACTAAGAATAAATAGCAGGTTGTATTATAGGAGATTATCAATGATCTTTGATAGAATTTTATTAGGAAAAAAAAGATGTTAAATTTGGCAATAGTGCCTTTTACCAACAGCGTTAGATTACATTATCTGTTCTCAATTACTCATTTCCTCGCCCACTTTTGCTATTCTTCTCAGAAGGAGAAATGTACTTTCAGCCCCAGAAGGAGATATGTACTTCTCAAAGCCATTGAGATTGGCCTTGTGACTTGTTTTGGTCAACTGTACATGAGCAGACTTACGCCACCTTCTAAATCAGAGGCATAGATTATGCTCATGCTTTTGATTCTGCTTCTCTTGTGTCCTGCTTTGTGGCACGAGCATGAGCCACAAAGGGGCAGCTCTCTCAGCCTGGTCCTAGAATGAGAAGACAGCTCAGTAACTTGCAGCCCCCTTGCAATGTAAGTTAAAAATACATGTTTGTTTTTATGGGTCACTGGGATATTTGGATT